GCAGTAGCTACTAAAATAAAAGAAGCGTTCTTCAATCCAGCAGTTCTACTTCTGCAAATCTATTCCACAGAAATTAAAGTGCCCCTTTTAAAGCACATGTATACACAAAGCATTTATTGTAATATTATAGCAGAGAAAAAGACTGAAAGCAGTGAATTTTTATTAAATACTTGTATATCATGGATTATTATGCAATCATGAAAAAAGTGAGTTGGAACTATGTCAGTTAACGTGGAGAGATTACCATAGTTTATTCTTCTTAAGACAGAAAAACAAACTGCAGAATATATGCAGTACTGTGTAATGTGGGTATTTTTTACTGCAAGTAAGAGAAACCCAAGGCAAATATTTACTTACCATAGTTGGAAATCTAGAAGTAGGGCAAGCTTCAGAGTGAGTTGATACGCAGACTCAGTACCATTAGGGGCCCCGGCCATTCTCATCCTTGTGCCAACAGCATTACTGGCTTTATCTTAATGCTGATTCCCCGCAGTCAAAAGGTGACCTCCCACAGCAACTGGGGTATCTTACTATTTTTTTCATATTCTATGCGGATAACAGTGACTTTTCTTTCCAGAAGTCCTGAGCCAACCAAGGTTTTAAGACCAAGGAGAAAGATTTGAAAGTTTGTTATCTTGGGAAGTGGAATAGAGAATTTTAGAATAAACAAAAGACTGAAGGGAGTGAGGGGTGTCCATAAAACAGTTTATATGATATGTTCCCATCCATGAAAATAAAATATATACCTGCAATAGGTTGAATCTTATGAAGTTGCAGACATTTGAATTTTTTTTTAACCTTAAAAATGGCAATTTAGGACTAGGCTTATGGCTCAGTGATAGAGTACTTGCCTCACATGGGTGAGTCACTGGGTTCGATTCTCAGCACTGCATATAAGTAAATGAATAAAATAAAGGTCCATCAACAATTAAAAATATATATATTTTTTTAAAAAAATGGCAGTTTAATATGGTTTAAGCTAACACATAAAGTGTTTGAGCCACGTGTGTGGCACACACCCAGCTACTTAGGAAGCTGAGGCAGGAGGATCACTTGAGCCCAGGAGTTCAGGGCCAGCATGGGCTACAGAGAAAGACCCCATCTCAAAAACAAAAAGAAATGTTAGAAAAGGTAGTTAGCAACATGTTTTTGATCATTATCTCAGAGTAGTGGGTTTTGAGAGCTTTTTTTTAATATTTATTTTTTAATTGCAATTGGACACAATACCTTATTTTATTTTTGTTTATGTGATGCTGAGGATCCAACCCAGGTCCTCGAATGTGCTGGGCGAGCGGTCTACTGCTGAGCCACAATCCCAGTCCCTTAAGAGGTTTTTTTTTGATAGAATATTTTTAATTAATTTACTTATTTTTATGTGGTGCTGAGGATTGAACCCAGGGCATCACCCATGCTAGGCAAGCACTCTACCACTGAGCCACAACCCCAGCCCCCAATCTTCCTTAAACATTTCTATACTATTTGCATTTTTTTATAGTAAGCATACATGCCCTCTGAGCCTGTTTTTGTGGATCATGACTAGCTGTGTTTCTACATTAAATCTGAACACAGTTGTGAGAGAGAAATAGAAAATGTATACATTTCATATCAAGTGTTCTGCCCCACTGGGAATGTCATCTCCAGCCTTAGAGATTTATCTCAAAAACTTTAGATAGAACATTTGTGGGGTTAAAACTCAAAACTTCTGCCCTAAATTTTGGTTTTCTATTCAGGTAAAACTTGAGCAGTTTTGCAAAACATGCTTAATAGGTTGAATCAGGCTGTAACCATGTCAGATTATTATTATTTCTTAATATATTACCTCAGAATTAACATGGTATGAGAAAAGAGACGAGGTCACAGATAAATAGCATATTAGGAAACAGGATCCTAAAAAACATTGAGAAGTGGCCTGTGGTTTGGGGGTAGTTGCCTGCCAATGTAGGAAGTTGAATTGGATATAAACAAAGATCACAGGGAAATCTCAAGTTTCCCTCAGAGAGGATTAGGCCCTTAGGAATCCTTCTTTTCTTCCCAAAAGATTAAACAATTAAGAAAAATGTAAAGCTTTATTATATCACTGAGCTACAATTAATGTACAATTCACTTATTTAAAGTGTACAGTGGGCTGGGCGTGGTGGCACAAGTTTATAATCCCAGCTACTACTGAGGCTGAAGCAGGAAGATTGAAAATTCAAGGCCAGCCTGAGCAACTTAATGAGACCCTATCTCAAAAGAAAAAAATTAAAAGATCTGGGATGCAGTTTAGTGGTAGGGCACTCCTGGGTTCAAATCCCAGTACCATTAAAGAATTTTTTAAAAAATTAATTAAAAAACAAAGTGTATATTCACAAAGTTATGCAGCTGTTACTACAATCAATTGTAGAACATTTTCATCATTCTCTATAAAAAACACATAGCAATTAACAGTCCACCCCATTACCCCTGACTCCCAAGCTGAGGCCACCACTCATGTTCTTCCTGCTTACCTGGATTTGCCTGTTCTGAACTTTCTCATAAATGGAATCAACAGTGGTCCTTTATGTCAAGCTTCTTTTACTCAGCATGTCATTGACAAGGCTCATCTGTGTGGTAGCATGTGTCAATACTTCCTGATTTCAGGAAGGATTTAGACAGAGAAAAAAGTATTTCCTTGTGTGGCTATAACACATTTTATTTATCCCTTTGGTTTTTTTTTTTTTTTTTTTTTTTTTTACTTTTCAGGTACTGTAAATCATGATAATGTGAACATTCAAGTTTATATTACAAACTTTTATGTGAGAGGGGAAATGTTTTTAATCGTACTCAGATAAAGTGCCATTTTTAGTACATTGGAAAGTAAAATGTTAGGTTCTCATTACTATCTTATAACATCCCAGAATTCTTATGGCACTTAGGACAACTGTAATTTAGAAGCTTACTTGTATAATTATTTACTGCTACCTGTTTACAGAACACTGCAAGCTCCTTACAGGTAGAAACTTGATCCTGTCTTCACATCCCAGCACCTAACTCCATATTTCAGCACGGGTGGTCATAAACTCATTATTTGTCTAATGAGTGAATATATACTTTTTTGTATAGATTAAGAAGATTATTTTGTTTTTAATTCTGTCAGATCACTGTCTCTGTGTTATCACAGCATAAAAGCTTTATTTATGCTTTTATTTTGTTGATTAATACCATATGTTATCATTTGAATCTGTCACTATTCCATATCAATATGCTATTTTGGGGAAACTTATTCAAGTAAATCAGTTTGGCTACACAGTTAATATTTAGTTTTGTTTTGTATTTATTTAATTTTATCTATTCCCCCTGTATTTATGTTATCTAACTTAGCTTGTAAGATCCTAAGGAACAGGACCCTATCTCCTTGTATTATAGGGAATGATTATTAATATTGTTATTTAAATGTGTAACTATATAAACAGTTTAGTTAACAGACTAGTGTTAAAGGATTTTGTGGTCTCTGAAGCTCATGAATAATTTTTTAAGGCTTTATTTATTTTTCTAGGCTCTTGTGAGAGAAAACATTTGAGAAGTACCTACAAGCTATAAAGCATTTTAAATAGTGTATCCTTGGGGCTGGGAATGTGACTCAGGTGGAGCACTTTCTAGCATGCATTAGGCCTGGGTCTCCATTCCCAGCACTGCAAAAGAAGAAGAAGGAAAAAAAAGTATAGCTTCTTAGCAGTAACCCCCTTGAAGAAATTTTTCTTTCAGTTCATAAGGAAATTTACATTGTAAATTAACCATTCATAATCAGAAATAGTCAAAGCTATTCTAGGATAATTGATGCTTGCTTATATTCATTTGGTGGTTTTTAAGCCTCTGTGAAAGGCACAGAGCTAGTTTCTGCAAAAGATAGAAGGATGATGCCTGCCTCGAGTAGTTCAGTGCCTAGCTGAAGAGAGGAGGTAAACAGCACCCTGAGAAGCTAGCTCACAATGCGTGGCCATGTATGGCTGCTGGCATGTGCGAGAGGCCACATGTGTACATCTGTAATAACAGAAATGTAAAGAGCAGAGGAGTTCAGATGTTCCGTGTACATGTATAAAGGGGAATTCAGTCACACCAGGGTGCTCGGAATTTGATCTGGGCCTTAAAGGATGAGTAAGGTTTCGGATGAAGGGGAGAAAGCTCATTACAAAGTGAAGGGAAAAGAACTAACAAAAGTCAGGAAGTTGGGTCCTGGGAGTTTTACAGAAATGCAGAATTTATATGGAAGGATTTAAACAGGGAAAACAGATGAGGACCAGATTCTAGAGGACCTTGAATAAAGGACAAGAGAATGTGAAGTCAAACTCTATTCACAGTGAGAAGCCACTTGAAGGTTTTTGAATTAGAGAAGTGAAATAGTGTCAGTAGCATGTGGTATCGACTGAAGTTGGGAGGGAAAGAGGGTAGAGAGACCAGTAACGAATTTCCTATCGGCAGATGATGAGGACCAAAACCATACCAATGGGAATAGGAATGAAAAGGAAAATGGAAGATCCATTCAAAAGATTAAGAAAGGCCCAGAATCAAATCTGACTTTAATGTTTTGATTCTTTGTGACTGGGAGAATAGGGACATTATTAAAATGTCAGCAGGAGGTGCTGCTTTTATGTGAACATGCTGAATTTGGGACATGTTGAATTTGAAGGAACAGCAGGACATCTAAGTAGAAACCAGTTTTATAGAAACTGGAGATGTGGATCTGCCCTTGGGAAAGAAGTCGAGGCGGACATAGATATTTTGGTGGTGTTGAAAAGGTCTTCAAAAGAAAAGAGCACAGGAGTGAGAGCAAAACTGAAAACATACCCATATTTAGTATTAAGACAAGAATTTAAAAATAAATTTTCTTTAAACTCTTTGATTTTGGCATGTTTCAGGAATAGTTTTGGCTTTTGAAAACACTTTCATAGTGGTGAATAAAGAAACTATAATGAAGAAATGTGCTTACTTTGTATATTTTCCTAGTGTGTATTTACAAGATTTATATATTTTTGCCTTTTTAGAGCTGTATTATAAAGCGATACTGTGAGAAAAGATTTGTATCTAAATACCTTGCAACAATTGGAATTGACTATGGAGTCACCAAGTAAGTATATTGTTTCCCTGGACTTGTAATTTACACAGAAATCTGGAACTCTTCCCAAATGATCTATATTTGCATGAATGCATTGATGCAGATATTCTTACAATAGAGACGTTGAAGATACATTGGGAAAGATAGCACTAAGATCTTTACATCCATGAGGCAATCAATCATTCCTTCATGCAGCCACCATGTCAAGCACACTGTGTCCTTGGGACACAGTAGGGGGAGGACAGACAGTGACAAGCAAGTCAACACAGAGCCTAACTGGCAGGTGTAGCTTTTCAGGAAACATGTCTCTACACAAGCTGGTCCTGTCAGCCGGTGTGTTTTTAAATGTTTTGAAATATTCTAAAAAACATCTAAGTATGTGGGAAATTATATGTGAGGATTTGTTTGGAGGTAAATCAAAGACTGGGTTGAGCTTGAGGAGAAAGGATTAAGTTAGCAGGAGAGACACGGAATAGAATTGGGGTAGACAGCACAATCTCACACTTGACTCTTCACCCGTACTCAAGTGCGGCTCTCGTGCCTTCCTGCCTCTGTGATGTTACCATACTGTCCCCTCATCTCTCCACCTGCTAATTTCTTCTAAGTATAAAAGGCCCTGTTCCCATGAGACCTTCTGAATCCTCCTTTATAGGTCACGATCTTTTTGCAACTGAGACATCTTAAAGTTCTCTGTGCTATTTATGGTCCTTGCCCTGAATTGCCTTTTGTTATTATTATCTGTATATTTTTTAATGCCTCTGTTAAATTATAAATGCCTGAGGAAGAGGCTATTAGTGTAAGTTCTCTCCGAGTGCCTGATGCAGTGTGTATACCTAGTAGGTGCTCAATAATTATTTATTATACATAAAGGATACACCTAAAGAGAAAATCTTCAGATTAGAATATGAAGGCAGTACTCAAAAAGGCAGACAAAAACCATGGGGTATATATGTGTAGCAAAATGTTGATTATGTGAATGGCAAAGTTGAGTTTAGGTGCGTAATTACACACCTTCGTGTCTGTACAGTAGCTCAAGTAAGAGGTAAAGTAACTCAAGTAAGAGCTCTGTAAGGTTGTTACATCACCATTTATCACCTGGCAGCAGCAGAGGGTATTTCTGCAAGTTTTCTTTAAAGAATGAAAGTTATAGCACTTAGCTGTGAAATGTATGAAGCTTTTCATTTGAAATCCATATTTTTTTTCCTGGTTTACTTTTCCCTTCCCTACTTAAGGACACAGGATTTCATCAGTGATATAAGATACCCTGTTTAAGGCAGCTTTGTTTTGTTCTATTTTGCTCCCAGGAATTGAACCCAGGGGCACTTAGCCACTGAGCCACATCCCCAGCCTTTTTTTTTTTTTTTTTTAATTTTTATTTAGAAATAAGGTCTCAAATTAGTTCTGAGGTGGCTTTGAACTTGTGATGCTCCTGCCTCAGCCTCCCAAGCTGCTGAGATTATAGGCATGTGCTATGGTGACTTTTTATTTAATCCATATAAGTTACTAGTTTACTTATCTAAGAAATGGAAATTACCATATTGTGCCAGAAAATTGCAGTTTATTTGACAAACTTCTGTTTCTTACTGAAATTTCTTTTGGAAAAGATGGTTGTCCCATGATGAGTCAGACAGAAACCAACTCAAACCAACTCAAGCAAAACCTGAAAGAAAAGGATATTAGTCAGTTCACATATTCCAGTTATAAGGATGACACAGTGAGGCCTCAGGGGAGGTTGGAACCACAGACAGAATTTAGACAGATCTTTTTACTATCTCTCTCTCTCTCTCTCTCTCTCTCTCTCTTGCTTTAGTCTTTTAAGTGTGTGGTTTGTACAAAGCTGCCAGTGTCTCTCAAGCTTACATATTTAATTTTATTTTTACAGAAGAACTAAAATTAATATCCCAAGTTTAATCCCAGGGAGAGGGCTGGAGGTGTACCTAGTGGTGGAGCATGCATGACATCTAGTGTGTTACTGAAAAGACATGATGACTCCCTGGGTTCTATCCCCAGTTCCATGGGGGGGAAGTCTCAGAAGGATTTGATTGGCCCAAGTGGAGCAGGTGCCTTCCCCCAGCTCAGTGGAAAGGCATCTTAGCTTGGCCAGCAGAGTGGAAGCCATAGGAAGATGGCACAGTCATGTGCACCACAACTGGGAGAAGAAAGCCCGATGCTGTAGATAACCATTCCTTCTTTTCTGTTTTAATTTTGAAGCTTAATTTCAATGTACTTAAAATTTATTTGTAGCCTTTGTGAAAGAGCAGATTCCTGGGGCCACTGCTAAGATTCTGATTCACTGGGTCTGAGGTTGGATGCAGGAATCTGCATTTTTAACACCCCTCCTGTAATTTTGAGGCAGGTGTTTTTCAACCACACTGAGGCAAGCACTGCCTTGAGATAATAAATTACCATTTTTCTAAAGTAATTTCCTCCTCTGGCTTCCAAATTAAGTTGACCTCTTTGGAGTTTTAGAGTATAAAGACTTTTTTGTTACTTCTTGACTTTATGAGCTTTATGGGTGTATCCTTGCTCAGCTACTATCTTTTTACAGTAAGAATTTTAAAAATATAAACTATGCCAGATCTTCCCCAGATGCTTTAAGTTCTAGTACTGTTTTACACTCTGCCCCTGAGCTACTGCCCAGCCCTATTAGGGTTTTCTTTCTTCATATTCTCTTTTGAAAGATGGATCCTGATTTCACAGGTGTTAAAGTGAAAACAGGCACCTTAGAACTGATGAAAAGCTGTGAGCCTTCAGGAGCAAAGAAACATAATAAGACACTTAGTTTGACTTAAACATACAGGTAATATAAAATATGAAACAGGGGGCTACAGCTGTAGCTCAGCAGTAGAGTGCCTGCCTCGCACGTATGAGGCGCTGGGTTCGATTCTCAGCACCACATACAAATAAGTAAATAAAATAAAGGTACCACAACAACTAAAATATACTTTAAAAACATGAAACAATGTAGGAATTATGGTTTCAGAACAGAAAGTGAGTGTTATAAATTTGGGAATAGTACTAAAGAAATCAGGAGGCAGTGTAGGGACAATGTGAGTGAGTGCTGAGGGCCTTGTGTTCCCTAGCAGCCCTGTCAAAATTCTAACTCTGAAACAGGTTACTTTATGGGACTGGGGGGAGACAGTTTTTTCTAAGACACTTGGCTGGAGTAGAGTAGTAATGACTTCAATCTGTTTATTTATTGTTGTTAATTTCTATTTTTAACTTAGAAGGATATTTTAGGAAATTTTGTGTTGAAACATTAATATTTAAAGTTCAGTAATTCCTTTCAGTTCATTAAAGTTTCTTTTGTTTATGTTAAATTCAGTTAAAAAGTAAATTTTATATATTTTTATAATAGCATAATTTCATTTTTATAAGGGTATTTATGTTTATCAATCTTATTTATGCATAGAAGTCTGGGTTGTGTATCTATGTTAATGAAGGTTATTCTGGGTGATAGGGCTTGGGATGACTTTTAATGTTCATCTTTCTATTTTTCCTTAATGTTTGAATTATTTATAATATTCATTCATGATTTTTCCAATAGTGTTTTTTCTTTAAAAAAAAACTAGAATATACTATGATATTAACTAATTAATTTTATTATGAATGATTATTGTTTCTCACTTTATTTTTGTCTTCAAATTTGTTTCTGAAAAAAAATTAACTATTGCTGTTGCTCAAATGAAGATCACACAAAACATACATCATTAATGTTTACAACTCTGCTGCATGTTAACCAAGTATAACCAGTAATAATTAAGGTGTCTCTTACTAAGTGAACTAAAACTCCTTGTTTTCCTTCATCTTAGTTGTACTTATCCTAAATTAATTTTATTTTATTTTTTTAAGATTGAAGGGAGTAGGATTTATTCAAGTGTGAAGAATAGAAACAGAACTCTTGCAGGGGCAGTAGCCAATATTTGTTGGTTCAGGCCTGTGGCTTGAGACGAAGGTGAAGGTGAGGGTATTTGCTCCAGGTAGGGTCATATGCCAGATTCCTGGCTCCTGTTATACAAATGATCTGGAATTAGGAAGGGAACAAAGAAAACCTCTTTCAAATTTCACACAGATATCCTTTTAAAATTCATAAATGACATAAATGATACTAATGTGAATGCAGAAATCATGATCTTTGGAATTGTTTCATTTGATTGTTTTAGAGTACAAGTCAGAGACAGAGAGATCAAAGTCAACATCTTTGATATGGCTGGACATCCCTTCTTCTACGAGGTAAGAAAGTTTGAAAAAACTTTATCCAGTATTGTCAGTGGGTTTAGGGAACGACCCGGAATTATTTAAAACAACCAATATTTGAATTATGAATAATATTGGGTAAATTTTGCTCATATTTCTGGCCTTATCCTTAACTTAATAAACACCTGTTGATTTTTTATGCTATGCTCTTAAGTAGGGAGAGGAAATTTTATTGCTAATGTTTCAGACATTTAAATAACTAAGACATTTCAACCTCAAAGGGCTTTTGCTTTTCATATCTCAATCCAGAATGTGTGAGTATTAATGACATTCACACTTGGACTTAAGAACTATGATGTCACCTCTTTCACAGTGTGCTCTAGCATGGTCTTTTGATCTCTCCTAGTCATTGCATTTTTTTCTCCAGAAGAACCCAACTTGGTTTACTTTCATCTGTTTTTCAGTCCCAAGTGGCCTCACACTGAGTTGCCTGGCCCCTTCCCTTTGGGTGGGCTTTTTCATTGTTCCTAAGGAGGCTCTTTGCTCTTTTCTGGTTTGGCCATTTCACTTCTGCTCTTCTCCTTATTCTTTTCTTCTGCTTGCTTTGGTTTTATTTTGCTCTTTTTGTTCTGGGTTCTTAAGGTAGAAAACTAGAGTATTGATTTGAGACTTTCTTCTTTTCTTTAGGTACATTTGGTGCTACAGGTTTCCCTCTCAGTACCGCCTTAACTGTGTCCACAAATGTTTAGAGATTGTATTTTTATTTTCATCTAATTCACTGGATTTCTTTGAGTTTATTCTATTTGGAGTTTTCAAATCTTCTTAAGTCTGTAGGTTTGTCTTTTGCCACATTTGAATATTCTCAGCCACTTTTTCTTTCTGTTTAAAAAATTGTTTTTGAGGCAGGCATGGTAGCACTGGCATACCTGTGATCCCAAGTACTAGAGGTTGAAGCAAGAGGATCACAAATTCAAAGCTAGTCTTGACAAATATAGTGAGACCTTTTCTCAAAACAAAAAAATAAAAAGGGCTGGGGGTGTGGCCCAGTGGTAGAACACCTCTAGGTTCAATCCCCAGTGTGAAAAAAAAATTTTTTTTGAGATGGGGTCTTGCTCTGGTGCCCGGGTTTTGAGCATGAAACCTTCCTGCCTCAGCCTCCTGCAAGCTGGGATCACAGCTACCACACCCACCTGGCCATGATTTCTTTGAGTCGTTTTCAGCCCCCTGTTTCTCCCCTCCTCCCTGGACTGTGATCTTTTGTTTTAGTCCAACATCCCGGAGGTGCTGTTCATTTTTTCTCTCTGATGTTCAAATTTGGTCATTTTTATTATTCCACCTCCTACTTCACTAATTGTTCCTTGTCCCCTCCTATCAGCTATTGAGCCCAATCTCTAAGCTTTGTATTTACATTATTTTTCAGTTCTAAAATTTCTGCTCAGTCTTTCCTGGGGTGGTGGGTGGGAGACAGTTTTCTTCTAAGGCATTTGGCTGGAGTAGATTAGTAAAGTCTTTTTATCTTGCCAAACTGCCCTTTTCCTGGTCCTTTGGTCAGAGAGATCAGGTTTTTGACGGGGCTTTTTGTTTATCTGCACCTCTTGGCATTTTCAAGTTGTACTTCTGTTCCAAGGCTTAGGTATGTGAGGCAAAAGAAAACCCAGAAAACTCACCATCATATCATTCTTCAGGTCCCAGGGCTCCTAGCTTGTCTGCTGCCTTTTCTCCATCTTTCAGAGGTTTTTAAATATTTGCTTTATATATAATGTCAATACTTTTGCCTATACTTAGCAGCAAATAGAGAAATATATGTCTACTTCATCTTGCCAGAGGAAACAGGATATTTAATGGCTACATAATCTTCCAACTTTTGAATATTGCCAAATGTTTAGGTAAAATGACTTCCTTTTAAGTGTGAAGCTTTTAAGTGTGAAGAGGGTTATGTCCATTACACAAGTATAGAATACTATCAGTGCAAAAGGCCCAGAGCGCTCATTGACTATAAGTTTGTCAGAGATTCTAACTACCAAAAATGCTAATGGCAATCTTAGATTACACCAAAGTCATGTCAATGGAGAGTTAGAAGATGCCTAAGGAGTACTGTGGTTTGTACTTCTGCCCATTATAGGATTTTGTTTTGTTTTGTTTTGTTTGTTTTGTTTTGTTTCTGGTATTCCTGATCAATGGCCACCATTCAATCACAGATACCTGTATGCCAGTTTCCATGCTGGATACTAGAGACACAGTGTCCCTTGTCCTCATGGAATGTAAATATGTTAGAGAAAACTTGTTAAACAAATGACAGAGTGCTCGGGAGCACTTAAAATCCAGACTCAATCTATCTTGATGGTCAGGAAGTCCTGCTAAAGGACACAACATTTAAACCAAGAGCTGGTGGATACTTAAGTTATGTAGGAGGACATTCTGGGGACAGTATAATACCCAGCCCAGTTTTGACTGGTGCAGAGGGTTTGGAGAATGAATATCTCTAATGTCAGAGTCTTATTGCTTTTTTTACCCAGAGTAAAAAAAAAACTAGATTGGCAATTTCTCCTTTGACTTTCACCATGATCCTGACCTTTCTTTGAAGAAATGTAGACCAAATTTGTACTTCTACAACAGAGCCTTTCTAATATTTGTGAGTCTGTTCCTCTTCAGGTAAAATATTTGTATTCCTGCCACAGCTAGATCTGAGTCTTCCTGGTGAGCATCCCTTGCAGATGATCACTTGTTAGCTGATGTGGAACTTAGAACTAAGACAACAATCCAGATATTTTCTAACTAGTGAAACACTCTATTTCTGTTACTTTCCATTATTAGACACCAGACTCTTATTAATATAACCTGAAATTGTAATATTTTTTCCAGCAGTTTATAAAATAGAATAGAATAGAAACTCCCTTGTATAACCAGTTCTGAAATACCTTTTTGCCAAAATAGCCATGATCTCTCATTTTTTGTCCAATAGTTGCTGTTGCTCAGATGCTCCTTTTAGACAAGCAGTCATTTTCTTTCTAAGTTCCAAGCTGACCAGAATATACCCATGCTCAGCACACACCTAGTGAAGTACCCACAGCCATGCCCGTGGTTCCTGGCTTCCTCAAATCCTTGGTGCCTGTCCTACATGGAAGGCATCAGTCCTCTTGATTGGTTTCCCAAAGTGCCTGCTGAGACAGGACCATCTCAATGTGTGAGGTAGCAATCTCAGAGAGAAGAATCAGAGGGAGACCATGAGGGAATGGCGGGGCCTGCCTCTTACAACCAGCATTGCTTCCACTGGGCCCACAACTGAGGTCTGGTTAAAGGGTATCACAGGAACATTCTGAGGCCTCAGGGATACTAGACTAACAACTTTCTCTAGCCTATCAGCCAGTTTGCTATCTCTGCTTTTAAGAACAAATTCCTATTCCCTTAGCATCCTATTTAAACTTTGGATATAGTGAGTCTGCCAGGTATAAGAGTAGAAAGCGATTTTGGGGGGCCAGAATAACAGAACTGTATGGGACCATTGAAACATCTGCTTTGATCTTTTCATTTGACAGATGAAGAAACTAAGGCTGAAGATAATAAAACTTACTCAAGACTAGTAGGTGGCTTGCTGCTGAGCTCAGACTTGAACTTGAACTTGAGTCTCTTGAAACAGAAATCCATTGCACTTGTTTCAGTCTATTTTTACACACATACCTTTCTCTGGAGAGCATGACCTGCATTTGAAATTCTTTCTGTTTCCCTTGGCTTCTATCTTTGTTCTCTACTGAGGCACATCCAGCCATTCAATTAAAACAGTGTTTCAAACTCATATCTACTAGGCCCTGTGGGTGACCCAAGGATGGACACATCAAGATACAAGCCTTCCAGTTGCTGCAGTGTAGTGGGGAAGACAGCTAGATGAACTACCATCTGTGAAAATGGCAGGAAGTGAATGATTCACTGTTAGAAGTACAAATGGCTGTGGTATTCCAGGGGACATAGAGAGTACCTCTGTTCAGGAGGGCAGGGGGGTGGCTGGTGTGCAAGATACGGCATTATAGCGAGACTTTGAAAGATTAAAGACACAGAGGTATCTGGTTCCTGATAGAGTTCACAAGGCCTAGGGTAGAATTAGATCATCTAGTGTGACTGTCAAGGGAAGGTAAGAGGATAAGACTGAGAAGGTTGGGGGAGAATTGACCAGAAATTTTTAACTTCATTTAAATGAATTTGAACTCCAGAGAATTGGTAGCAATGGGGAAATACGAAATAAATTTTGAGCCTGGGCTTATAAAGATATACATGCAATATACTATATTGCTAGGAAAATGACTTAGAAGACTCTTAGAGTAGTGCCATCAAGAGAGAATGTTGGAAGCAAGAATGGAAAGGAAGTGACAGGAGAATAAACATGGCACAGGTGGCTTCTACTGCATTGTCCAAATCTGCTGAACAAAGAGAAAAGAAAGCACCAACGGTTGACACCAAACTTTCAACTCAAATGACTGAAAGGAAAAGCTTAAGAAGGAATGAGATGAAGAAATAAGTTGTCCCTGTTATACATATTGAATTGGAGATTCCAACAGGACGTTCAACTAGAGAGTCTTGTACTAATTAGAAATGCAGGTCTGAAAGCCAATTTGAAAAGGCTCATCTTACAGATTCTCACGGTTGAACCTATACAAGCATTTGATATTGCTTAGAAGGAAGGATTGAGAAAGAAAGGAAGAGGGCCCAGGATGGGATTTGGAAGGGCTTGGTGATGAGCTGAAGTGGGCCAATGGGGAGAAGATGAATTGGTGAAAGAGTTTAAGAACCTGGAGAACGTAGTACATGAAGGCCAAGGCAGCAAGAGCTTCTGGAAAGAAGGAAGAGTCATCATCGGGTGCTGCAGAAGGGCTCAGGACCACCCTGCTGAGGGGAGAAGACGGTTGCTCATTGCTTGTCATTTCAAATTCTTTTTGTTTTGAATGGAAAGGAAGTGACAGCAGAATAAACACTGGTCTTCACTTCAGAGGATAGCTTCTTAGGTTCTGTAGATTTATAGACCTTATATTCCTGATCCAGGTATCTGTCTTCGACAGTCGTACCTGATGTGTGTAAGATACCTTATTTCTTACTACACATCCAGTGTGGGTCTGGGTACATATTGGGATTTTGTGAAAAGAATGTTTAACTATGGCCTCTTACAAGGGTCTTCTTGGAATTTTAGCCTGAACCTCCTCCTTGCTCACCTAGCCTCTTATTGCTTCTGCTTTGTTAGTGTGCCCTGTATTTCATGCCCCTTCTTCCTAGAGTTGTAGCTATGCCACAGAAGCAAGTTGCCATTTCTAATGAAACACCATAGAAAAATCCAATAATGATGAGCTAGGGATGGGGCTCAGTGGTAAAGCACTTGCCTAGCATGTGTGAGGTCCTGGGTTCAATTCTTAGCACTGCATATAAATAAATAAAATAAAAGTCCATTGACAACTAAAAAATATTTTTAAAAATTCAATAATGAATACAGGGAAGAAAGGAAGAAGGTGAAGATACCCATTGTTTTCCAGGCACCCCTGTTAAGTACTCTGCCTTCATTATCTCATTTAATCCTCATAATAACCCTGTGAAGTAAGAGTATTATCCCCATTTTACAGATGAGGAAACTAAGAGGCAGAGAGGTTAGGTGACTTGCCCAAGATCACACAACTAGTAAGTAAGTGTGAACCCGATCTATCTGCCTCCAGAGCCTGTGGTTTTGCCCTTATTATTACACTGAGGCTCTGATCTTGAAATTCAAAAGTTGGTATATAGATCCCAAGAGTCAGGGAAGCTGTGCCTAGCAGTGGGGAGAGCCATCTTTGGGATGTGATATATATAAAACGATGAACCAGTGGCTGATATTTGTGTCATTTATGCTTTAGGTTCTTTTTAGTTGTTCACTCATCCTCCCAAGAATTTCATATAATTGGTGTTCTTTTTAAGGTCTACTAACAATTAAAAAGTGATTACTTCTGGGGAGTGGAACTGGAGGTGGGAAGGGTGGGCAGGAAGACACTTCCTTCTGCTCTAAGTCCTTGTATGGTAATAGATTTTTAAAAGTTAAGTTACTTTGATTTTATAAAAAGTCCTCTAAGAACAAGTAAATCCTGAGGAACGACAGCAAATGCCATGACTACATAGAAGAACACACTTTACCTAGTTAATGATTATGAAATACATTCTTATAAAATCACTAAACCTACATCCTGTGCATCTGTTCTTCCACCCAAGGTCCGCAATGAGTTTTACAAGGACACGCAGGGTGTGATGCTGGTCTATGACGTGGGGCAGAAAGACTCCTTTGATGCCCTGGATGCATGGCTGGCAGAGATGAAGCAGGAACTCGGGCCTCACGGGAACATGGACAATATTGTATTTGTAGTGTGTGCCAACAAGGTAACTGCTTTGGAACTGGTATGCTCACCTTTCTAGGGAAGAGTGCAGATCCGAGAGTTTGGGGGAACTAACAAAAAGAAATTTCTTGGGCTGGGGTTGTGGCTCATTGGTAGAGCACTTGCTTTGCATGTGTGAGGCACTGAGTTCAATCCTTAGCACCACATAAAATAAAGAAAGAAAGGTATCGTGTTCATTAAAAAAAGAGAAAGAAATTTCTTTATTCTCAAGTATAGGAATAGGCAACCTTTCAAAACACATGTCCTCATCTAAAAACAGATCACAACAAAAACCCCAAACCTGGGATATCAGGAATTTTATCCATTTTTTTCCCTTGGTGTCCTACTTGGGGAAGGATGTTGGTGACAGCGGGAGAGGTGGACCTCCATAATAATCACACTCTCTCCTGATGGGAGGAGGGACATTCACTAGTGACATGTGGCTGTGGAAAGCAAGCTTGGGCCCTGGGAAATGGCAGATAATTGAAGCGTTTTCCACAGAGGTGGGCAGCAGCAGCCTTCCCACGGGGGAAGTGGGAGCCCGAAGACTGGCCAACAGGCAGGATGTTTGTTCTTTATTTGTTTTGCTCTTTTTGTCCTGATAATTTTATATACTTGTGCTGGGGCTCATTAAAAATAGTTTTTTGCCTCAGTAAAGGATTGACAAAGACCCCACTGAGTGTATTCTAGTGGACAATGTTGGAATCTTCTCTCCGCCCCCAACTTTTTCTATTTCAGATCGACTGCACCAAGCACCGCTGCGTAGATGAAAGTGAAGGGCGTCTCTGGGCGGAAAGCAAAGGGTTCCTATACTTTGAAACCTCAGCACAGACTGGAGAAGGGATCAATGAGATGTTCCAGGTAACCAAGCTCTTGGTTATTTTAGGGTTAGCATGAAGGCCAGCCATGCTGCCTTTTAGTGGAAATTAGGAGATACAGAAAACAATAGGAATTTCTCATTAGAATAAGGTCTTTCTCTAAAGGTGGAGAGAATGGGAGCTCATGAGTGATCTGTCTGCAGTCGGTAATAGCTCAGACTTGGGGGAGCATCAAAACTACCTGGGGATTAGCAAGGATGGTGGAATGTGATGGACATCATTATCCAAAGTTCATGTATGAAGACACGAATTGGGTGTTAACCTACTTTATATATAAACAGAGATAGGAAAAATTGTGGTATATATGTATAATAAGAATTGAAATGCAAAAAATGTACATGTATAAAGACATGAATTGGCATGAACATACTTTATATACTAAGATATGAAAAATTGTGTTCTATATGTGGAATAAGAATTGTAATACATTCCATAGTTGTGTATTTAAAAAAATAAAATCGATTTAAAAAAACTACCTGGGGAAATTCTCCAAAATATAGATTTCTGGGCTCATGCCTACTGGAAGCTGTTGTGATGGAATCAAGAATCTATATTTTAAAAGAGCTCTCCAGGTAATTCTGATGTTCATTAAATGTAATCAATAAGTTATTGTACCACTCAATCCATTATATCCCATTGTCCTATATATAGGACACCCATAAAAACCAATAAAAAAAATTTAGGACACCTATACAATTGCTTAATTTAAGTTTTTATAGTTGTCCTATGTGTAGGACAATGGGACATAATGGGTTAAGTAAGAAAACAATTTTCTTTAAAACTACCCAAGTTTAATAAAATTGTTATATTTGTATACAGAATCAATGGAAGTGTTACTGTGGCAAAACTGCCTTGCCACACCTAATATAATCCAATATTGTAGTCCATAGGGGTGCAAATAAAGAAGACTATCATTATAGAATGCAACCAGTCACACTTAAAAATAAGGCCTCACGGGCTGGGGTTGTGGCTCAGCGGTACCGCGCTTGCCTAACACGGGCAAGGCACTGGGCTCCATCCTCAACACCACATAAAAATAAGTAAAATAAAGGTATTGTGTCCAATTACAACTGAAAAAAAAATATTAAAAATAAATAAATAAGGCTTCACCAATCAAGCAGACAGTAGAAGGATGAGCTCACATAGCAACCTGAATAAATGGTCACTTCTTCAAACCTACTAATCTTGAATCACTTCAAGGGAAGGAAGCTATTTAGAACAAGAAGTTATAAATCAACTCTTAATTACATGATGATATGAATAATGTATTTTTCTTCTTATGACTATAGCTAGTATTTTTAGGATTTTAAATAGAGTAGTTAGTACTGTAAAGAGTTTTTCTTAATTATTGAGTGGGATTATATTTAATCTTTTATGCTGAATTTCTTTCTCACAAGATGTCACCTCTCCTCCTAGAAGACAGGTTTGATCTTTGGCTGACAGGCTGAATTGGGCATCAGTGGCTTCTATTTCAGGATCAGGTTGATGTTGGTTTGCCTTGCTTTCTATTCTTTTCAGTACATACAGTTATGTGAGTCTGTCCCTATGTGTGCAATAATGATACTTACAACTTAAATGGTATTTTACAATCTAGAGACACTTACATATTTCATCTCATTTGAGACATATAAAAATAATGCATGACAGATATTATTTTCATTTCGTATATGAGAAAATCTAAGGGTAGGATAGTAAAGTGACTTGTCTAAGGCATATAAGTAATGACTTATAGATTACATTTCTTTTTTATTCTATTTATTATTATTATTTAGTTGTACATTACCATAGAGCATAGTGTGATAATTTGATACACATATACAACGTGTAGTGGTCACATCATGGTAATTAGCGTTTCCACACATTAAAATTTTTCAGCACTTTAAAGATGTTGGTTCATTCTCTTCTGGCCTCTGTTGTCCCCATGAGATGTAAACGTTCATTCTTACTCTTATTCCTCTCTACACGTTCTGCCTCTTCCCCTCTGGCTGCTTTCAAGAGTTCCTCTGCAATTTTCAGCAGTTGGACTATAAAGTGCTGAAGTGAATTTCTCTTCATACTAATCTTATTTGAGGCGGTTGAGTTTCTGAGATGGGTAAGTAGGTGTTTTTCATCAGGTTTGGGAAATTTTTTGTTTATTTTTGTTTTCACCATTACTTCCTCAAATATATTTTTCATTTCATTCTCCTTCTTATGCTCTGGTTACATGTGTATCAGGCCATTTGATTTTGTCCCACAGTCCCTGGGGCTATATTTACTTTTCCTCTATATTCCCCCATTTTTTTAGATTGCATATAGTCTTTGTTGATTTAAAGTTCATTGACAATCAGCTGTTAAACACACTGAGTGAATTTTTCAACTCTGTATGTTTTGATCCTAGAATTTGCATTTAGTTCTTCTGTACAGTTCCCAATTCTCTGCTGAGATTCCTTATTTGCTCACTTATAAGAGTATATTTTCCTTTAATTTTTTGAATATATTTTCCTTTACCTCTTTTAGATATTTGTAAGAGCTGTTTTAAAGTTTTTGTTAAGGTCAACATTTGAGCCATTTTAGGTTCAGTTTCTATTAACTACTTTTTTTCTGACTATTGATCACATTTTCTTGGTTCTTTATATGAATAGTAATTTTTTTGACAAATACCAAACCTATACATTGTAGAGACCCTATACATATATAGATATTTTTTAAAATCTTCCTCAAGGATGTCAATTCTTTTTTCAGGAAACAGTTCAATTACTGGAAAATCACAATGAACTTATGTAAGTTTTTTTGTTTCCATTTTTTGCTTTAATAGCAAGGATCTAAAGGAAGCCCAAAGCATTTCCCAAGTCCTTCTTATTTGACAAGACTTCTCTTCAAATTCTGTCTCCTTTGTAGATCTTCTTGTTTCTGGTTATTCTGAGTCTAACTCCTAAAGCACAGCCCTTCTGTGGCTCCTCAGCTAGATGCCAGGGGTGTTAATGAGGTATCACAGCAATCTCTTCACCCTGGTAAGGCCAAACTCAAGTGCTGGCTGGACATATCTTCCCCTAGCACCACTGGACCTCTGGCATATTGGTTCTGTTCTCAACTCCAAATTACCTGCTCTCTGGTAACTCAAATGATCTTACCCTGTGTGCGTATAGCCTAACCCTCTGCTGTAAACACATGGGGATCCCCCATGGACTTGGGGCCCAGTTCTGCACGTCTCCCTCCTCTCAAATGTCCTGCTCTGCAGATTCTAGACACTTCAGCGCCCTTAAACTCTGATGTCTCCTTTCTTCTCTCAATGGCACTCTGTCTGCTCAGACAGGCTCTCTGCACCATAGTCAGAAAATGGCCTGCAGGTGGAGAAGCAAGTGATCGTGGGGCTTACCTCCCAGGACGTAGTCTTAAACTTGATGTTGTCTGTGGCCCACAAATAGTTGCCTCATATATTTGCCCAGTTTGATGGTAGTTGGCAGGAGGACTAGTCCAAGACCTATTACTCTATCATGGTTGGAATTTACACATGAAATTAAACAGGCTTTGACTTCACTTCTAGTATTCCATTTATCACACCACAGCTTGTCTTCTGTAAGTGTTATGAATGAGTACTTGTGCCCTCAGAAGTCTGTATTTATATTTCAGGTCAACTCATAGACTAGAAGAAAATGTTACTGATGCATACCACTAGAAAATATCTGTGAACTCTTTTAGATGGCTTTTATCCATGTAGATAAATCTTGGGTAGAACTAATGGACAAATTAGTCTGCTTCAAAAAATAAAAAGGGCTAATAAGAATATAAGAACACTGTTTTGTAAGTATGCACATAGAGTGCTTTCCTGCTGGTTCAGTTTAATATTTTCTTTCTTTTTTTTAAAATACTTTTTAATTGTAGTTGGAAACAATACCTTTATTTTATTTATTTTTATGTGGTGCTGAGGATCAAACCCAGAGCCTCCCACGTGCTAGTGAGCACTCTACTGCTGAGCCAGCCCTGGTTTAACATTTTCTTTTATTTCCTATCTTCTTCGTAGATGCTTTGTGTCAGGAAGGAATTTTGTCTGTCTGATTGACATTGTTAACAAAGAATAATATAAAAGTTGACTAAAAGCCAGGACAGTGGCGAACGCCTGTAATCTCAGTGGCTCAGGAGATTGAGGCAGGAGGATCATGAGTTCAAAGCCAGATTCAGCAAAAGCAAGGTACTAAACAACTCAGTGAGACCCTGTCTCTAAGTAAAATACAAACTAGGGCTGGGGTTGTGGCTCAGTGGTAGAGCAGTTGCCCAGCATGTGTGAGGCCCTGGGTTTGAGTTTCAGCACCACATATGAATAAAATAAAGGTCCATTTACAACTAAAATAGATACATATTTTTAAAAAAGAGAAAGAAATTTTATTTTATTAAAATTTATTTTTTAGTTATAAATGGACACATATCTTTATTTTTATGTGGTGCTGAGGATCGAATTCACTGCCTCATGCGTGCTAGGCAAGCGCTCTACCTCTGAGCCACAACTCCAGCCCCAAGAGAAAGAAATTTTATAAGAAACTGAGGGGAAAGGAGATAAGGCAATTAAAAGCAGCTATAGTATATTAAATTAACATATTTTAGTAAAGTTATTAATAATAATAATAACAGTGCACAGAGCGTGAAACATGAGCAGGCCCAAATAATAGTTTTCACATAAAAATCATAAAAGTGGGTAAGAAATATTAAGTTTGCAGAAGAAAAGGCCATAGCATATGAAAAGATTCTCACTTTTACTTATAATGAAAGAGATGTAAACCAAAGCTCTCTCATCATCTCAGATTGTCAAAAATTACAATAATGCCCACTGTAAATGAGGGTTTGGGGAAATGGGCACTCATACACAGTGATGGGAATGTGAATGGCTACAGCCTCTGTGGACAACAGTTGTCAAAACAAAAAATTAAGATGCACACGTGCTCTTATTCAACAGTTCTGCTTTTAAGAATTTACCCTAAAGCAGCATCTCTATAAGTGTTCAAAGATCTAGACACTCAAAAATATTCACCAAAATATTTTTTTATTGTAGTCAAAGGACTGGGAACATTGGATGTGTCCATGAGAAGAAGGTTGGTTAAATAAATTATGGTGTAACCACACAGTAAAATACTGAACAGTCATGTAAAAAGATCAAAAGTCTCTAAATGTAGCTATAGAAAGATTCCAAGATGTGTTATTATGTGAAAAAATGCCAGCTGCTAAGCAATGTGTTTGTTCTCTTTGATGCAGTGATTTATAGAGAATGGATGTGAGTGTGTGACAGTATACTTGTGAGTATGTGGCAGTTTTCTTCCAGAAAAATTTGTTAACAATGGTTATATCACTATACAATTTGAATATTTCTAACAGTGTTCATCTATTACTTTTGTTATTTTATTTTATTTTTGGTACTGGTAATTGAATAGAGGTGCTCTACCACTGAGCTACATCCCCAGCCCTTTATTATTTTTTATTCTGAGAAGGCTGCCCTCAAACTTGTCATCCTACTGCCTCAGCCTCCCAAGTTGCTGGGATTTCAGGCTTTCTATTACTTTTTAACCTTAAAGTGTGGTTATCTGAGAGTAGGATTATGAGACATTTTAATTTTATTCCTTATACTTTTTCTATATTAAGATATAAGAGTACATATATTTAAATAGTAGAAGAGGAAAAGTTCCAAAGAACATATTTGCTTTATTCGTGACTTATTGGAATATGTTAAAAGTTGTTAAGTTGATGCTTGAAAGGAATTCCTATTTTCACAAATCACTTCTACTCTGGCACATGTTTTCTTCTTACAGACCTTTTATGTGTCCATAGTTGATTTATGTGAAAATGGCGGAAAACGTCCTACCACAAATAGCAGTACTAGTTTCACCAAAGAACAAGCAGACACCATTCGCAGAATTCGAAATAGTAAAGATAGTTGGGACATGCTGGGAGTCAAACCTGGGGCCTCAAGGTAAGTGGTATCTAGGATATCTAGTGCTGAGTGCTATCAGAGAGAGAGACTCAGATGCCCAAATTATGAGTACAGTCTATCTTATTTTAATTGGCTGGAAACATGAAAATATGTGCAAATAGATCATACAGTGACTTTGCTTCATTAATTGAATATCAAAGAGACAAATCAGAATATCAAATCAGAAGATACAATTGCCTGCTAAGGGAGCTATATCATGTGTCTGTGTAAACCCTTCATGAAAGAGGCTGTGCTTTGGTCTGAGATAATGTATCCTAAAAAATTTTTACAAAAGATATTTCTTAAATCATAGAATTTTAGGGGGAGGAAAGCATATTAGCAATCAACTTGTCCAAAATTTTCATCTGGGGAAACTGGGGTTGAATGAGATTAACCATGGTCAAGACCCCCAACAGATAGTGGCATTATTGATTCTTGACCCTGGAACGCTGTGTGTCTGCATGCTCTTCTCAAAAACCTTGCTAGTTCCTCATCTGTGAGTGTATGTATGTTAAGCCATTCCATTTTAGCCAAAAGAATTATTTGGGGAGAAAATAAATATAATTGCTATTTTTCATTACTTATGCAAAAATAAATTATTACTCAGTATGATAATATAATTCTTAATGACATAATACTATTGTTACTACACATAACTTATGAGGGTCTTATTTGCATCCTAGCTCTCTTTCCCATAATTCTCCCTTCTTACATTTTTACCTTGAATGCCACAAAAGAAACACTGTATCTTGAAATTGCCTTGTCAGCACCAAAAGCAGTCAAGCATCTCTTTGTAAAGTTCAAAAGGAAAGAGGAGAAGGGAAAGAGAAGCTGTTATTGGTCACTCTTAACTCACCAGGAGTACTGAAGACACTTTTGTGAAGGAATCCAAATGACCTTATGAATGAATAGAGCACAAACTTTATGGTATCTTTTTTTTTTTTTTTTTTTTTTTGGTTCAGTACTGGTGTGGAACCCAGGATCTTGTGTATGATGGGCAAGTGCTCTACCCCTGAGCCAAATCACCAGTCTTTTAAAATTTTTTATTTTGAGATAAGGTCTTTCTAACTTGCCCAGGCAGACATGAACCATGGTGCCTGGCTTATTGGTGTCTCTTTAAAATGTCCTTTTGGGGACTGGGGCCATAGCTCATTTGGTAGAGTGCTTGCCTTGCATTCACAAGGCCCTGGATTCAATCCCCAGCACCACACACACACACACACACACACACACACACACACACAAGTCCTTTTAGACCTCCATAGTCTTATTCTAAACTCCTATGTCGTCTCCAAGAGATGTTAGCTCTAATATTGAGAAACGATTTCTTTATCTACTTATTATGAACTTAGAAAAGTATTCTAAAATAGAAACTTTGGCTCCTTATTTATTCACTTTGGTTAATTGGAATCGACCAGAGCTTCCAGGACATCATGATTTCCATATCCTTAACCAATATAAACATAAACTCCTTTTTCCTCTGTTATACTGGGTCTATTATATGGTATTGAAGCACATTTGTGGAAAATCTTTAAACACTTTTTTCTTAAATTACAGAGAATTTTGATATTTGTTCAGTACCAACAGTGTTTATTTGCTGTTCTCTTTTTAAAAAAATTTTTTTAGTTGCCAATGGATCTTTATTTTTTATTCATTTATATGCAATGCTGAGAGTCAAACCCAATGCCTCACATATGCTAGGCTAGCACTCTACCACTGAGCCACAACCACAGCCCATATTTACTGTTCTTTTTAAATATTTTTTTGAAAAATATTTTTAGTTATAGATGGACACAGTACATTTATTTTATTTATTAGTTTTTATGTGGTGCTGAGGTTTGAGCCCAGTGCCTCACACGTGCCAGTTGAACACTCTACAACTGAGCTACAGCCCCAGCCCTTATTTACTTATTTCTTGAACTTTAAGAAAATCTTCACTTCAACAGAATTGACTCAGGTTACACACCTGCATCAGTCTTATTTCTTCAAAAACCTCCCTTGAGAGTCTCTCCTGTACCTAGAAATCTTAAAAGGCACTCTCAGTGCAAAGGCCTGGCCTGACACTAACCCACTGTGGACACACTCTTTCAGGAAGCAGTGGTTTGTGGGGCCCTGCCCAGGACACACTTGGGGAGAAGAGAAGGGGCGTCTGTACCTGCCTCAAGGATAGAAGGTCTTTGGAGATATAAAAATTCTGTCCATTCAAATTTCCTGAAAGAAGGAGAATGTCATTCTCGTTAACTCATGTCAAAGTTATATATGTAGAAACACTGCATGTGAGGTTAAAACCAGCACATCCAGAAGAATTCCTTTTAAAGCAGAAAAAGCCCTAGCCTGCTTGCCCTGGACACGGGAACTGTTAACGCAGACCCTACATCCTCAGCCTCTCTAGGCTGACGTCCACAATGCCCATCGCTGCCAAGGTGTCGGGGGCCATCTCCTGATTTGGAGAGTGAAATAAAGACGGCTGGAGCGCCTGGCCCACACCATGTCCATGCTCACAGGGTAACTGGGACCCTGAATGACAAAAGGAAAGTGGAAAATAAAACCTGGTAGAGCCAGACCCGGGCAGTGGCTGATACTTAGGACTCTAGGAGCCTGACACCTGGGAATAAAGAAGGGCAGGACAGGAAGGGCCAGTCCTCTCCAGGCCTTCCCCAGACTGTCCCCGCTCTTCTCAGCCCCTGCTATCTCCTCACTGGATGTTCAGCTCTGCGTCCACTTCCGCCCACTCTTGCTTTCTGCGTCTCTTGTGTGTCCTCGTTCACGTCCCCGTTCATCTTAACCTAAAACCCTGTTCTCAACCTGGGTGGTTGTAATGACCTCCTGCCTGTCTCTCAACTTTGAGAAACAGCTTTCCCAGCACCAGTTTCTCATCAAACACCTGCTGTTGTCATTGTTGATCAAATCCAGGGGTTTTATTGTGCTTTTGAGGCCCTTCTCTGACTCCCCTCATCCCTGGCTGACTGCATTCCTTGGTCATCTGTCCCGTGCAGCATCTGTGCTCTGTTCCTGGCCTGTCCCTCCCAGGGGCTCCAAACCCCCTACCCTGGGCTAATTCCAAGCTCCCCTTCTTCCACAGCCTTCTCAGGGGACCTTCTCAGTGCCCAGTCCCACCTGTTTCCATCAATCATTCCTTTACTCTCTCCTGAATTTGTGTACTCATGTTGCACCATATTTTTTGTACTCGTATGTTACCTGTTACCTGTTACTTATTTGCTTGTGTGTTTTTAGTTTTCTAGTCCTGCCTTTAGAAAAGGTAATAATCGCTTGGGAGATGACTGCAGAGATGTTAGTGAAGTGGGGGGGGGGGGTGCTGACCCTGGTGTTAACCGGCTGCTTTCCACAGGGAAGAGGTCAACAAAGCCTACCGGAAGCTTGCTGTGCTTCTGCACCCCGACAAGTGTGTAGCGCCTGGCAGTGAAGACGCCTTCAAAGCTGTGGTGAATGCCCGGACAGCCCTCCTGAAGAACATCAAGTAGAGCAGGAAAGACAGACTGGACTGACGACACCCCTAAAGGGAAGGAACCAACAGGGACTTTCCTTCCCAGAATCTCACTGCTCTGCTCTCTCCTGGCTGTCATTTATAAATCAGTAGCTCAGTGCCTGCTGCGTCTCTAGGCCCTTCACAGCGAGATGCTGCACGTGGAGAGAACCAGGTGGCTCTGCTCACGGGCTTCATTTCTGATTGCCAGGCGGCCTGAGGGGCTTCCAAGGCCCTGGGCCGTAGCATCCCTCCTGGATTGCTTGGAAAAGTCCACTAGGTTTCTGGGGAGGGAAGAAGACAGTGGGACCCTTTGCTTTTTCCTTCCTTCCTTCCTTTTTTTTTTTTTTTTTTTTTATTTATCATCAAAAAAGGAAGCAAATAGGAGGGAAAAAACAAGCAAACAACATCCATGCCCCTGAGAGTTGACTGTGACCTTTCAAGCAAGTCGCTCCTTCTAACACGAGTTCCTCAGGGGTGTCTGGACCATCAAGCCCTCCTTAGTGAACTCTGGGCAGCCCTTTGCACGAGTGTGAGTGGGGCAGATGGTTCTGAGCTGCCCCTCTAGGACATTCCCTGTTCCCTTATCCAGCCACCAGGGGGAGAGACGAGCCAGTCCTAAAAGAGACAAGCAATGTCAGCCAATTCCTGCCCTTCCTGGATCTCAGGCCTTCCCTGACAAAGAAGTGTTACTGACAGCAGTAGCGAGCACCATGCACCTGGCAGAGAGGAGTCGGGCTCCAGGACAGAAGTACTTGCAGGTCACACCTGGAGACTGTGCTCACGCATGCCCACAGGGCAAGGCCAGCCCAGCTGGGACCTGTTGTGTTCTAGGGGAGTCCTGGTGTGACACTTGCCTCTTTCGTATTCCTCACAGTTACCCACGGGCAGGTGGGAAAGGCAGGTGCTCTTTGAGGAGCTTGGCCTCTAGGCCTCTTCTTCAATTGCTCCCCAGAATTATTCTGCTTCTCCTCTTCTCTGCCTTTTCTAAAAATACTCCACATCTGCCATGAGGTATCTCTCCTCAAACCCTGGCCTCCTCCATCCCCCCTTCCAAGCCTTGATCTGGACCTAAAGAAATTGATGCTATGAGAGCAACTGGGAGATATCTGTGTAGGGCAAAATCTATGATTTCTGCTTGGGCTGCAAATTTCTGGATAGTAATATTTTTAAACTATGGATTATGAAAATTAATTTCACATAGAGAATTGCATTCTCCTGCCACAGTGTCCTGGGTGTTCCGGGGAGGAATGAAGAGCAAGTATCAGGCCTGGCGTTTGCTATCGCACTTTGAGAGCCAGTCTCTCCACTTGACTCATCCCACCATCACTCATTATCTGACTCACATTTTTAGCTGTAACCACTGCACTAATTGGAGCTTTGAAGTAATATTACTATAATGTGAGTTTTGAACAGCTCTCCCATATTGATTGCCAGATAGCATCTGCCTTCTCCCCAGCGACTGCAGTCTCCTGGATCTTTGACCTCTGCCAAAGTAGCTTTACCTTGTACAGCTGTACTCAGGCTACATTGAGCTTGTCATTGAAAACCATTGTTTTATAAAGTGAGTGTTTATCTGGGTGATAATCAAAAATGCTTTCTTTTAATGATCCCTTATGGGATTTTCCTCTGGCCATTAAAACAGCTTCTGAGACTGCAGAACTCCAACCCAAAGCTCTTCTTGGGCCTAAGTTTTGCTTAAGGCCTTCTTCATGCCTCAAGTATTCCAACATGGATCTGTTCTCTCAACAGAATATGGGAGTCATATGAATGGGGGACCAGCCCAAGTCAATAGGACAGCTCACTGAGTATGTGGCCCTGCAAAACAGCTGGTGCCAGTTTTTATCCCGGTGACTCTTCATCCAACTACATTGTGTAGATGAGTAATTATAGCAGAGAAAATTCTTTAGTATTTCCAGTCGTATCCTTAAGAGTGAGTAACTCATTGAAACGTAGCCTGTGCTTGGTTCTTAGGTCCTGGGACTCAGTTTCCAACATCTTCATTATTAACATTCAGGATGGCCACATACTATTTATATAGTAGGAATAAAATGAGAAAGTTAAGCCTTAGGGTCTGAGAACTTTTCTGATTTCCATATCCTTCAGCAGGACATGAAGAAATAACAAAGCATGATTTGCAATGAAAAGTTGTTTGGTAACTAACTTCATGCAAAACTCCACAGACCTCTATGCATTCATTAAAATTCTTGGTGCAGATGTGTGCTGTCTAGCTCAACCTATTATTTTCTTCAGCCAGTTAGGATTTCAGAATACACCAGTGACAGTCCCAGCTACCAGATAATTTCAGTGGCCAAAAAGTTTTTATAAAGGATCTTGTTTTTCAAAAAAGAATAAAGAGTTTGAGCAGCTATTATTAAAGAAAAGCCATGTATGTCTTCCACATCTGAGTCACCAAGAAGTAAAACTTTTTAAACTTGTTAGAAATCCCTGGAGGCATTTCAGATTAATCTTCCACCCTTCCTAAGCACTTTAAAATACACTCCCTTGTGTTTCTCAGTTCGCCTTTTGTGCCTCCTTTTGAATTGATGTTCTCAGCTGTCAATATTTTTTGACTTCAGCACTGTAACTTTATTTCTCATATAAATGTATCCTTGGTTTTATTAGCTTGTTAATTTAAAAGCCCAGACTTGGGGGGCTTTATGTTGCTACCCAAGGTAAATCACTATACTTCTGTAGATTGCACACTACTCTTTGAGGCTTACATTTACCTCAGGAAACATACTCTAGTATGTTCTCATGTATCAAATTCTCAAGAGGTAAACATTTCTTTATACCGATAAACTGGTACATATTTCACTATTAGTTAAATGAGCCATAGGTAATGCAGTCTGAACAATCACCAGAGTCAGCAAGCAACCCCTGCAGGCCGGATCAGTCAGTTCAGAAGTGGCCAGGGGCAGGGAGGGATTTCCAGCTGAGTTAGAAAGGGGGTGGTGAGCACTCACCTCGGATAGTGACAGTGCCCCTTACAAGTAAGCTTGGCATTTCCCTCGCCACTGTACCCCATCAAGCTCACGTTAAGTCTGCCAAGATTTTTGTAAAACTTTTGGGAATGAATTTAGCTGCAAAATAGCTAACCAACTTCCACTGCAAGTTGTGCAGAGTGAGGAGCAGTTCATGATTTCCCCTGTTGAGCACAATTCCAAGTCATGCTTAATACTGTCTAGACATGATCTCTCCATTAGACATTTCTAGAGAAGACAAAAGCTCTCAATTGTGACACAGAGAGGTTCGACTGTGTCTAATGAGCAGTGCAATATGAAGCTGTGCAGTGAAGGCCTCGCTGAATGGCTTGTTGGACCGTTGGACAGGGTGGGTTTGCTTCGTGTGTGGATGGCTCCGGGCCCTCCTCCTCTTGACTGTGAATGCAGAGTTTATCAATAAACAATAAACCCTTTACTCTTATAAGGTAATTTACATATTTTTGTTCTGTTGCAGTAGCTGAAAATGTTAAATCTACTGGTTGTTTATGTCTTGTATACAGAGTGTCATATGTATTTAAGTTGTGTATTTTTATAAAGTAAAGTCAAATATCAAACACTAGTCTGTGGGCTGCGTTTTTTGTTGGGACGCTGGACTTTGGTGTAAAACATACTAGGCTGGAAGCTAATCCAGCTCCTCATCAAGTGTGACCTTCACAAGACATCTTGCTTTACTTTCCAATAGGCAAAATGGAGAAAATTTTATTTGTTGGTCCATTAGGTTATGCAGATCTTAAGAATTTGTGGTAAAAATGTTTTGATCCTTTAAAGAAAGACACTGATACTATCTTTGTCTTTGTAATTCAGATGAAACTGTTTTTAACTTATTTGAAATAGGGCTGACTAGAGGCTGGGGATGTGGCTGGGTGCTCAGCATGCTGGAGACCCTGGGTTCAGTCCCCAGCAGCAACAACAACAGGGTGCAGACTGCTGGCTGGCTAACTATTTGTTTAACTGATCCTTGGACCTGCAGGACCCTCAAGCTGAGGGACTTTGGTCACCCTAGAATTTGAAACTCTTACAGGGCCAAACTGTAAGAAGCCACCTATCTGAAGGCTGCAAACAAGAGCTTTGCTTTTCACGGTTGGTCACAGGTCACAGGCGTTGGTCTGCCCAGGGCCTCTCTCTCCTGGGAATGGCCCGCCCCTGTCTTGAGGAGCCGCTCCACCCTCCCCGTCCTGGCAACAGTTCTCACATAACCCATCCTTCCTCCCAGGCCACAGAGATCAGTCCAAGGGACAGGAAGGTGACCCAAGCTCAGCTCATCCGTGTCCCTCTCTGGGAACTTTCTCACTGGAGCTGGGAAGACAGTTTCCTCTGGGGGGG